GGACTGATAAATATTATCTTCTATATATCATATTTATCAGTCCGAGCAGCGTTTATTTATTTATAATTAGTATATAGACCCGTTCGTACATAAATGCAAGGCACACGTTAAAATAAATTTTATAAACATTTATTATGCACGGAGATGCGTAACATACGTAAAATATCCAATGTTAGCACTTTATATATGTCTAATAATGACGTCCGCTACGCGGGTCATATAAACCTACTCACCGAACTGGTATTGTCATGTCACTCATTGAAAACTTGAAGTTGCTGCACTCGATCGAGCTCTTATTACGAGGAGGTAATGTCGGTTTGTCTATTTCATATTTTAAGTCCTAAAATGTTTGAGACACTATTGTCACTAACGAAACATTGTCAACGAGGATATAAACTGATATAACACTGATAATGCATGCAAAATTTGCAAAAGCAAAATATTTAACATAGCAAACAGACGAGTGCTTGTGGATCTCACCCAGGCTGTTCAACTTAAAAGTTACCAAATTTAAAGCATTAATTCATTGTAAACCCACCTGTAAAGACTTTTTTCTAGACCTACAAAACAATTGTATAGAAACATGAATATATGCGTATGTGTGAACGGTTGTCTGTTCAGTGCGATGTTAGATTACATTTCCATTAAATTATAAATACAATACACTACATTACGATTACGATACAATACATCTGCGACAAGATATCAAAGGTAACTGCATAAATGACGTAACTATGTGACGTTTTCGATATTTTTCTTGACCTTGCCTCGTAGTATATAAGTAACTTGTATTCGACATTATTTGAATTATTAATTACATTTATTCATTCAGAACCAGTTCAGTGACGTATTTACTGACTCAGTTCTAATATATGTGAACTGCTCGACAATTGTTAAAATACAAGTGGTCTATGTGAAAGCATATGGCGCTGAGTAAACCAGTAGCAATAACAAGTTATGAAATACCTTTGGCAGCAAACCATTGTCAGAAGTAGGATAACGATGAGAACCGAAATTGCAACCACCAACATGTATGTGAAAACTATGTTGCATTCAGAATTTGCTGAAATGACAGTACGATTGGTCATTTTCAACAATCCTACAAACTTGTTTATTATGTACGAAACGTGACCACATGCCAGAGAGACTAGCTTATCAATAGTTACCATACATGGCATGAGTGGTTTGATATGGGATCGGAGTTAGTTAATTCTTCGTTTCAAAAAAGATAACCAACTGTTTGTAGCCATTATACGATTTTACTACTTTTGTAAAGTACATACAATTAATTTAGATGCAAATTATTGTCCAGTGTAACTGTTAAACAGTCAGCGTGATTCTTGTCGTCTACCTACATAGTTTATACATGAAGGCAGTCTAAGTACATCAGATAATGAGAAAGAAGAAGAAATGGCGATGCAAAAATTAGTTTATTCGTCAAAATATAAATGAATTCTGTTCTTACCCTCATTTGGTTCCTGCGTTACTGGTTCTACTACACCTTTGTAGACACTTATCACGACTGGAACCGTGCTTTATGTCCCGATTACACATGGAAGACACATTAAAACCACACGTTAACATCACAGCGATCGAAGTGGAACAATAAATTACTTATTGTCATTAAAGTAAGAACATAATGTGAATTGTCTGAGGATATTTAATAACATATTAAAAAAACAGATACCTCGATTTCGGTTTTTCTGCATGATCAGAAGCAATGGCGGTCAAATTATACCAAATCGTCTTTTCATCTAACGAGTAGTGAGTTGTTATTATCCCGGTGACTTTGCCAATGCTGAAAATATTCTGTGAACGAGGTTAACACGCAGATGATGTCATTACGAATTTTGGGTTACAAATCGCAGACGAGGATAGCCATGCCCCACGCGTCACTCCAATGTTAGATTCATAGTCCCCAATTCGGATAACGTATTTTATGTGGCAGCAACGATTGAATATGAATCTGATGACGTAATGGATTTGTATCACGTATCAACGTGGAGAAATTAAGTAACACTGTAGCTACAAGAGAATATTACGCAAAATGTAAAATTCTTACTCTTTCATTTCCGGCACGCGCAAGGTCATATGTCACCATGCCATCAAATCCACTGTCATCATCAGTGGCCGTGATATTCAGTTCAGTCAGGTTTGAACCACTGGGCAACGTATGCGGAACTTGAGTGCTATAACAATCTTGTTGTGAGGGAGGACAATAATTTACACAGTTAAAATTAGTGATAGTCAAATGGTACATGCAGTGTATTTATTACAAACAAATTACTTTTTCGAAAAATATTAGGAAAGCATACTTACCCTGAGAAAAAACTGGAGCATGAGTGTTCGGGTCATTGTACTCGACATTTACAAGAACGTTGCCATATCCATGAAACATGCCATCATTGACCTCGACTACTAACTGTAACAAAATAATAAGTACATTATGGACAACTTGAATATAGACGTACGGACAGACATTATACATGGTATTGAATCGTACTTGCCTGATACTCTTTGGAACGATCATACGTAAAAGTAGCTTTTGTGATAATTATTCCAGTTGAACTATTTATACTGAAATAATATTTAAATTTATCTAATGTTGGATCCAAGGAATAAACCATTTCTCCAATTATGTCAGGGTCTGTGGCATTGACATTCACAACAAACGTGCCTATCGGTGAATCCTGAAAGAAATGTACATAAATGACGCCGACCAATCACTTTTATATCAATGAATGTATATTTCCAATAAACATATGGTGTGTATGAACTGGTTTTAACTGTTTCTCCTTGATTTTGTGAAAAATTAAAACTGTCGGTCGAATTTTGTTTAAATGTATTTTGCATATACAAAATAGTCGTTTTGTTGGTCATAAAACAGACTAGCCAAAATTATTTATGTTTTCTATGACAGAGCTAGGTGCTCTAAAGTAAAACATATTTGAATGTTTTTATTTTATTAATTAATTGTATTTATTTATTTTAATTAATTAATTTATTTATTTATTTATTTATTTATTTATTTATTTATTTATTTATTAGTTAATTAATTTATTTATTTATTTATTATTTATTTATTTATTTATTTATTTATTTATTTATTTATTTATTTACTCTTCATATTGTGCAATATAGCAAAAATGCCTGTATTTTATTTTGGTTTTGTCCTTTTTAAAATAAACAGACTCTCCCTTCAGTACTAGATTGGTTACTAAATTCACCTGGTGAATTCAATACTACAGCGCATTAGTCACGAAAACCATTAATTGCTGCTTTGCAGCTACATTTGTATTTATTTTTACATAGGTGACATTCATGTTACAAGGAAGAATACAGTTGATACCATGAGAATATCGCAAACCATGCACGAAGGCAGTACGGCGATCGTTACGACCCCGCCTTGCCTGAGTGCATACTTTGTGGTTTTCTCGTACATTACATAGACTCCTACACAATTCTAAAAAAATTAAACTCATCCTCTACCGCAGTTCACCCTAGTAGAATTGGACGAAATAAAACAAATCTCAGATTCGGTAAATCACGAACTAACAAAATCGTTTTGGCAGGAGACAACTGCAACACATTAACAGCAATAACATTGGAATTGAGCACGAGATTGTCTACTTACGTGAAGAATAGTAGTATTCATATCTTCTTCTATAGTTGGCGAGTTATCGTTGACATCCAATAATAAGATATCCACAGTAGCATTGTCTGATTTTTGTGGTAATCCACCGTCATATGCAATAATTACTAGATTAACTAGAGTTTCAATCTCCCTGTCAATCGTACCATTTGTCTGTATTATTCCAGTGCTTTCGTCGATTACGAAAAATTCTGAAAGAAGTCGTTGTAGTAGTTAGAAACAGAATTGTGTCGCTGTTTAAACAAGTAAACAAAAACATGTAAAAATTATGCACTTGTAAGTTCCGATTTGCTGCTTTACAACTTTGTTTTGTTTCAGTCAATAGCACAGAGTGTTTTATTTTTGTTTTGTTTTTGTTTGTTTTTTCGAAAAGGGGAAGCATTCTATCACTATCAAATACAACTCCTTGACTTGCCGTTGTGATTGCCGTCGGCAATTTTAAAGTACACTGTTCCAGATGGATTTAAGCAGATTGTGTTATTGCAATCCTGGTCCTTTGCAGTTACTGTAACAACCGATGTTCCGCTGGCAACATTTTCCTTGACTGCAACCGTGTAATTGGATGGCTCAAATACAGGAGCATGTGCATTAGTCTCTCTTACTGTGATAATAACCTGTGAACAAATTGACGATAAATAATGAATATTTTGATGAAAAAAACATCCCATTGTATGTGTATGTTAATTTGTTCATATGTGAGCTATTCCGGCATTGTAACAAAGAAATAGTATTCTCTAATAACACTGGTGGCAATGCATTAAATTTTGAAGGCAGAATAAATTGTAATACTGGCATCGTTCCTAGGCGTCAATTGAGAGATGTCTGATGAACATCACGTTCATAGTAACGACGATTTCACAGCTCACACATTTGCGGTAGGTTAGTTGTCAATTACATGATTGGGCACGTCAGTATAAACTTACCTCTGTCACGTTCGATAGCACTGGTTCCCCACTATCAGAAGCGTTCACGCCAAGGGTGAGTATTTTATGATTCTCCTTAGGTAATTCATTCGATATGGTGATTACCCCAGTAATGTTATCGATTGCGAACAATAGCGATTCGTCTAAAATATTAATAGATATATGATCATTTCATTTCAAAATTTATTTCAACTGTAAGTTTCATCTAACATTAGATATAAATGGCGCCATCTAGCGATGAAATTGATTATGTGCTGTAAATGAATGCAAGGGACAATGTTGTTTTGATCTGTAGTCAATGAAAGGTACTGTTACTAGAGGGCGCTACTCTAACAATCGCCATTTAAACATCATAGGAGCGTTTCGTCACTAGAGGGCGCGAGCGATTGAAATCCACAGACACACCATAATCACTCGATTGTTCGTTACTGAAATGTAGATGTCAAAATTACACGTACCTGTGAATAATATGTTATTCTGGCGTTTTCTCCCGAATCAAAGTCGCTGGCGTTGACTTTATATATTGTCGTGCCCACTTTAACAGTATTCACTACTTCGGTCTCGTAAGGTTCTCCCATGAAATACGGAGTGTTGTCATTGACGTCTATTACCGCAATAAATACTGCAGTGGTACTATTCAAGGGAGGTGTTCCAGAGTCTTCAGCCTGCACTACCAAAGTATAGTTTTTCACTTCCTCGTAATCTATATTAGCATTCGCTGTTGGCATTATATCACCAGAATCCCCTGTGAACGAGTGCTCGAGATAAGACTAATAATTATAGTATTGATTCATGATTGGATTACTATAGTGTATTTACGCGTGTAAATTTGATACAACCTGCCGGGCCTGGTTCCCGAAAACGTACTTCAAAGGAAAGTAATACCTTCGTATATTTTAATAATAAACTAAATTGTCTGAAGACTGATTTAAATACGATGACAAATATTCGCATGAATACGTGAATATGTTTCACTAAATTCTTATTTTCGACACCCGCGCAGTCTGTATGGTTGATAAATAATTGATTGAGCGATTGATGCGGTTAAACCGGTTTTAGCACTGATTTAATTTACTCTGATAATATACACGTTCATAACATACTAAAATTTTAATTAATATTGTAGTAGAACGTATCAACTCACTGTCCACTTCAAAATTGTCATATGCCCCGGAAACCAGAGAGTAGTGGACTATTTTATTCTCCCCTTCGTCCTTGTCGGTGGCGTAGACAGTTACAATGGCAGTGTCGTCTCGATTGTTTTCTTCAACCGAGCCGCTGTACGTAGACTGGTTGAACTGTGGAGCATTGTCATTGACGTCACTGACCGTTATGTACACACATGTGGTGCCACTCAATGCCTCACTGCCCATGTCCTCTGCCTTCAGTAAAAAAACACACGATTTTCTTTACTTTGTCGTATATACAAATAATTTAATCTCAAACAATGACACACAGAATGAAAATAATATAGTCACTGAATATGAATGTAGAATAAAGCTAGCAGCAATTAGACACTATTTGCATATACCACGTACCATCACAGTTAAGTAATACGTGTTGATAGTTTCTCTGTCTATTACTCCAACACTATATATATTACCAGTGGTTTTGTTTATTTTGAAGTGACCTATAAAAAACAAAAAGAATGACACTTACATATCAGCAATAACATATTGTTAAATAATAACATAACATATATCCTTCGATTGAGGGACGACATATTTATTCAAGTTGAAAACGAATCCCGTGGCATAAAGGCATAATTTTACGTTCACTCGGCAGCAGCGCTAAAACCAATGAAACAGAGGCACATGTTCAATCGACAGCAGCACTGAATTCAACAATATACGGTAAATCCTTAAGGCGAAAACACAGTCAACAGCAAACCTTCAACGACATAAGGGACATACGTTCACTCGACAGCAGCGCTAAATCTAATGGCATATGCTCAATCAACAGCAGCGCTACGGCTTCTGAGCTGTCACTCCGATCCACAACTCTACAATAAGACACTAGTAGTTCATGCTTACCACGATCTCCGGATACTATACTGTACAGTATCTCAGCGTTGGTTCCGGTGTCACCGTCGCTTGCACTCACATTCAGTATCCAGGCGTGGTTGTCGGTATAATCTCCTTCATCAATGTAATTTTCGTCATATTTGGAAAGTTCGAACATCGGGGCATTGTCATTGATGTCCATGACGTTCACCATAACCTTTGATCCAATGAGATTA